TAGAAGGGACTGGCAAGAAGTATTCAAAGTGATGAAAAGCAAAGGCCTACAACCTAGATTACTCTATCCAGCAAAGCTACCATTTAGAATTGAAGGGCAAAGTGCTTCCCAGACAAGGAAAAGCTAAAGGAGTTCATCATCACCAAACCATTATTACAGGAAATGTTAAAGGGACTTATTTAAGAAAAAAATCAAAACTGTGAACATTAAAAAGTAACAAATGCACAACTGAATCTAAGGAAAACAAAAAAAAAAAATACTAAGCAAAGCAACCAGACCAGGAACAGAATCACAGATAAGGACAACATTTAAAGGATTATCAGCTGGGAGGCGGATGGGACAGAATGGTGGAAAGGTGCAGGGAATAAGAAGCATAATTGGTAGATACAAAATAGACAGGGGAAGTTAGGAATAACACAGGCAATGGAGAAGCCGAAGAACTTACATGCATGACCCGCAGACATGAGCTAAGGGGGGAGATTGCTGGAAGGCGAAATGGTTCCAGGAAGAAGGGAGCAAAGGGGAAAAAATGTGGGACAACTATAATACCACAATCAATAAAATATACTTTAAAAAAAGAAATATTCAAACAAAGCAGATTGTATGACAAGACAACTGACCTGACCTCCTTAAAAATATCAACTTACTTGCCATAAAACACAAAAGAAAAGGCAGACGAGAGGACAGTTCTGGATTAAAGAGGGCTCAGGAGATAGGACAACCAAATGTAAAGCACTGTCTCCGATTACTTCCTGGGTCAAAAAAAAAGTGGCTGCCAAAGACATTTGGGTTATAAAGGGGTAAAGAAAAAAAATGATATATATTATAAATAAAATATAAAAATATAAAATGATTTAGAGTATGTACTATATTTTAAGATACAACTATATGTAAATAATACTATTGTAGCAAAGTTAAATTCTTTGGTTATTATCAATGTATTTTGGTTATATAGCATGAAAGTTACCTGCTTAGGAATTCAAGGTGAAATATCACAATGTCTGCAACTTATTTACAAGTGAATAGGTTCAACTTACTTGAGAGGAGAGAAATATAAAGGTAGCAAATACAAAAAAAAGTAAAATACAATATAAGATAATACAAAAGAATGTAAGACAAAATCTAACTTTTTTAAAAAAGATAAATTCAGGAACAAAGAATGAGTTTTATTTAAGATAAGTTATGTATGGTTGGCTAATTAAGTTGGGTGGGACTCCTGGTAAAGTCAATTAAAGGGGTCTATTTGGGGGTAGTTTTTGCTTTTGTCTTTGTTGCCTTTTGTCCTTCTTCCTTCCCCTTCACCATTCTCAGAATACAGACTTCATAGCAGGTGCTAGAGTGAGGCAGCTATTGCATAGCCAAGAGGGAAAGACTAAGAGGAACTCCATAATCTTGGACCTGACATCCCTGAGGTTCCAGCCATTGGCAGCATCACCTACTCCAGCCTATACTTTGAAAGAAATAAACTTCTGTGACAGAGGACCAAAAATGTTCTCAGCTCATGACATTCTTAATGTATCAGTGATTTTTTTCCTGGTGCCCCAAGTCCCAAAGGAACACCGAACTCTTCTATTTATTAAGTAGTTAGGTGTCAACAACTTAAAAGAGTATTTGTGTGCTAAAAACTTATCAGCTGTTTGGAAAAAATTATGCACAAATTAAAAATATTTTTCTTTTATTCTCAACCATAATTACTAGTGATATGTGTGTTCCAAGTGTGCCACCTACTACTTCTCAAGCCTTGAAATCAGATTGGATTTTACCACCTTCATCTCCTATTCCACATTAAGCAGGCTGCCTTTCCTAACATGAGTGGGCCTCACACAATCAGTTGAAGGACTGAACAGAACAAAAGTTTGACCCTACACTAAGAAAGAGAAAATTCTTTACTGAATGACTGCCTGTGAACTGGGACACTGGCTTTTTCCTACCTTTGGACTCAAAATAAAATATAAGTTCTTCCTGGTTCTCAAGTTTGATGATGGCCTTCAGGAAGGAACGACATTGTCATCTCTCCTAGTCCCAGGCCTTCAGAGTTGGACTACAACTCAACCATCAGCTCTCCTGGGCCTCCAGCTGACTGACCCATCCTGCAGATCTTGGGATCTATCTGCCTCCATAATCACATCAGCAAGTACATCTTGTTAGAAATGTCCCTTTAGATAGCTAGGTAGATGTATACATAGAGAGAGAGAGAAATAGATAGGTAACATATATATTCTACTGCAGATATAAAGATATATTACCTATTGGTTCTGGTTTGGGGGGTTTTTTAGAGAAACTTAACTAATATACTCACAGAGCTACAGGTTCTTTGTACTCATCCCTCTGGGTCATGGCATTGTTAATAATCCATGAAAAAAACAATAACAAAGCCAGGGAGAAATGTTAACCTCAAGCTTATCACATCACTCCCAAGGTTAAAAACCCTTCTCTAGCTTGCCAGTGTCCTCAAGTTATACCTAAACCTCCTCAGTGTATCATTCATGACCATTCATCTGGCTCCTGCTTATTCCTGTCCAGCCTCATCCCTTATCAGAGTCTTTATACCCACCATGTGGAACTAGGTGAAAGTCCATGAAATGCACCATGATCTCTCCCCTCCAGGTTTTAAGTATGCTTTTCTCTCTACCCAGAATAAGCTCCAGACAGCCCCCTCACACGCACACGCATGCAGACATACACATTGCAAGGCCAGCTCTCATCCTTCAAGTGTCTACCTATGTACCTTACTCTCCTCCCAGATCCACTTATGAAGCACCAGCTGGGAACCCCTCCAAATGCTGCCATATAACCCTGAGTGCATCCCTGTCAGAGCCCTAGTGTGCTTTATTTTAACTGTCCATTCATTTGTCTGAATTCAACTCCATGAGGGCCATGATTAGGTTTTATTGGCTATTATATGCCCCAAACAGTGGCTGATCCATAATACATGCTCAATAATTATTTCTTAAGTATGTGATTGGATGAAGTTCAGACAGTCCCACATCACCATTCTCAACCAGTTACTGGCTTTCTTTAGGAACTGTTTACCAAGATGGGAAAGGTGCCAAGATCATTCCTGGCACCACTCAGACCACTCGTGGTATCCAACCTGCAAGGCCAAGGGGATATAATATGGTTGTCCTTGACCTTTTACCCATGCCTGTGCATGCCCCAACCATGCAGACCTAGTACAAGCACTGTAACCTTGGAAGCTGAGCAAGGAACCAGAACACTGAAAAGAGAAGAATCAAAAAGCTGAAATATTTTTTAAACCATTATTATAATTATAACCACTCTGGTCACCATCAATCAAAGTAATATTCCCAAACTCCTTACTGGCTGGCAATTCTGAAGTTACTTATTCTTCCTAGACCTTAGTTCTCCTGTTAGATGATCAGCAATAGCATAAAACTCAAGGCTGTTATGAGGAATAACTGAGACTATGTTCTGGAAAGCACTTAACACAGTGCCTGACACATGCTGAGTTACGATATAATAAATGCAAGTTATTAATATTATCACCATTATTACTGCCAGTCAGGATTTCAAACATAAGTACATATAAAAGTAAGCTACAGTTCACTAGTCAAGCATGAGCTGAAAGATTTTGCTGGGCCTCAGCCCCTGAAAATCCAAACACATGAGCTTGACATTAAGGAACTTAGCTTGCCTTGCCATGAACATAGCAACCTGACAATGACAGAGCTATTTTGGATGCAGTCACCAGGGAAAGTTTGTCCTATACTTACACTTAATATCAGTAGCTCTAAGAAATAAAGCAACCAAACCCAGACCAAAGTAAATAGATAAAATAGAAAAGAAAAAAGCTACACATATACTTAGTTTTTTTTTTAATCTACCAATTTACACCAACTTCTCCATACACAGAAATATACACAGACACTAAAGCAAACAACTTTTTGGGTACTTGCCTGATATAAATCATTATTCACCATAACTGAGTGAATTATGAGTTAACTCAGTGAATGGCTATTCACAGGCTGCTAGTAATTTTATTTGGTGGTATAACACTTAATATAAACATTTAAAACTAAACACTAAAAATACCTAAAGGAATATATAATTGTGCTATTTTATATAATAAAGCTATATTTTTACATGGGATACATACTCTCTTTTTCTAGCCCAAACACACATATCATATGCAATATAATCTCATTAAGTCAACATTAGTTTCTACAGACAGTGTGTCATTCAATTAATTTGCTAGTCTTCAACCATTATTCTTTAATTTAAAATATACAGTCATTTGGGAGCATATGAGATCTTGCTTCTCGGCAATTGTCATCAGTTTTGGCTCAAATAAAGTCATAAAAATTCAAAAAATTTTTTAAATAAAAAAATAAATTAAATACATGAAACTAACTAGACATTCTAGATCTCCACAGCACAAATATACCTTTTCATTATTCTCCTCTAGCCTCCTCTCTTCTGTTACTAGCTACATTAGAAAAATTAAAGGTTCTGCTCTTGAATAAATTTTTATCATTTCTATGTATTAATTCCTCATTTTAAAAAATTTCTCCCCTTTTTCTCAGTTTCCTTCCAAAACTACTTTTCTTCTAGCACCCAACTAGCACAATGATAGTTCTAACCAGCCCTGTCTCTCCTCCATGGCCTGCAGAATCTAGCTCTTGGTGAGCCAGAACAGAAATTTGCATATCCAGAGGGTAGGATCTTGCTAAACCTTGCCCTTTCCCTTCCATTACTATCTCCACCCTACCTCCCCGTTTATGATCTTTCTATCTTACCTTCCACTCTGTTTCACAGTTCCATGAGATGTCACATTTACTACTGTGGCCTCCTGGTCCTCACACACATTTACACATCCTCCCTCTTCTTCACAAGCAAGCCACATATCATTATGAGACTTTCAACTTTGAGCTTGACATTGAATTGTGTATTTTCCCACAGAATTTTCTGGGAGAAGGGCCTGGGCGGGGGGAGAAAAAAGTACTTTCCACTTTTAAAATATCCCAGAAACACAGTCCTACCTTTCCCAGGATTTGGAGGAAAAGGACTTCCAAACTCCTGCTGCTTTGGCTTTAAAGTGTGTGGCCCTGACAAGCCTCCGGCCTGAATGACCTGGAATCGTGACTTCCCATTGGTGAGCACTTGTCTCCTGGGACTCAAGGCGGGCAGATGGATGGGGCTCTCAGCCATGTTGCTCTGAGGAACCATCCCTCCTCCCGAAGGTATCTTGAGATGGAGACTTGGTGTGATACCACAGGACGAGGGCCCAGGAGTCCCCGAGTGGGCTCGGATGGTAGGAATGTGTTGGCCACTGACCATCCCAGGCCCCTGTGGGGTTCCTGATATCCGGTGGAGATTCATGCTGCATGACCTTCCATTCATTCTGAAAAAACCTGTGGCCAAGATGGTCAAATATCCAATGGTACTAATGACTCCTTTCAGGCAAAGTCCAATAAGTTATCCATGGTGTGGGTTTTTAGCCTGTTTAAAAAAATAAATGCAGGCATTTTTAAAAGTAAAATGGAAAATAAGTTACCATGAGTTTTCAACTTGTGTAGCATTTACTTCAAGAAGAAAAGAAGCACTCTTAGCATAAGGGCCTTTTATAAAGAGCAGGGTCATCAAAAACATGTTCACTGCCAAGTACTCTCCCCTCCTGCATTTGTGGTAGACATGATTATGGATCACTGCATTGTTCTGTTTGCCACTGAGCCCTTCTCAATATAGTGCTCTTGGCAACTACAACCAACCTACTGGTGCCAGCTTGCAAAACGGAACTTCTTTTGCTCCCTAGAGGATCTGTCTGTACTAGTTCACTTCTGCTACAGTGAATCTTGGAAAACCAAAAGGCATCACCTTCATGAGATGTGAGACCAATATATCAGAGGTTCCAATAAACAAACTAATGGCAAAGCTGGCCTCTAAATGAGATTATGAGGACATTGAACCATCTCTGATTTTCACTCTAAAAGCAAATTTTTTATAGTCCCTACATTCACATAAAATAAAAATATGGACCTGGGACTCTCACAAAGGCTTCATACAGCCACATACCAAATATTCAGAGCAGCATTAGGGTCTTGGTTCCATAATGATCCTGAGTTAGGGGGATGAAAATAAAATCAACATCACAATATTCTCACCTTCCATTAAGATCCTAGAAAAGGAAAAGGCTATAAAATATGCTTCATGGAAAGTATAAGGAAAGAACAGCCTATTTAAAGGTATGTTCATCATGCACCAAACACGGTAAATCAATCAGTTCCACAAAGCATCCATCTGCAATGCCACCACCCCTCTCTAGCATAGCAGAGGAGAGCCAGAGTACTGACGTGACCACAGGGCATCATCATCTATCTGTATGCAATAATGCCAGTACTCCCTGGTTACAAATCTTTAGGGAAAAAATCCTTCTCCCTTGGTCCATAGCTCCCAGAAATGTCTGTGCAGTCAATGAGGTGACTAACCACCACCTCTCCCAACAAATGCAAACACAGTCACAGTCTGTTTTCCTCTATACAGACAGGACAGTCATGGAAAGAAGCCAAAGTTGAACAAGCACAGGAAATATGGACTGACTATAAAGCAGTGGTGATCAGATATCCTCAACTGGATGATTTCTACTTTTTCTGTATGACTCACTCAATGTTTTAGACAAATATATCCAGCTCAACTCCCAGATGAATAGCTACATCAATTATCAAGGACAAGATACCAAGAAGAGCAAATTTTTGCAAAAAGTTTTTTTCTTCAGTAATTTTAAAAAATCAGAAATATTTAATTTTCAAGTCTAGTGCTCACTGTGACTTCTGCAAAGTTGACTATGTGTGCCCATATGTTGAAGAACTTCAAAAATTACCAACAATATAAAATTTGAAATGTTTTCTTCATCTCTGCCAATTCTCTGTTTTATTAAGCATTCTATCCGCCTGTCCCATTTAATACTACCATACCATCTAGTCCTCAACAGCACTCCTAGGTCTTTTTTCCTGCCCTCCCCTTCACTACAGTTCCTGAGAACGGACAGATAAATTCAGGTTTATCCAAACCTGTATCCTTTAAGTTTGTTTGCAGAATAAATGAACTCTGGTATAAGACCAGTTTTAAGATTTTTTTTTTTACATTTGAAAATTTCCAATGTTCTTTCTCATGTCCTTTTAGAAAAATTCAACTGTTATTGCCTGCTGGTCTATTGATTTATTGGTTAATTGTGGGCAAGAATCATATAATGTCTCTATTCTTCACCAGATTATATCAGCCATCTATTCACTCACTGATAAAATAGTGTTTTCTGAACACTATGAGTCCTGCAGAAGAAAGCACTTATTCAGTACCCCCAAAAAAGGCAACATAAATATGTAATATTGGCAATTTGTTAAAAATGAGGAATTATCCAACATGACTGGAAACATGAGTCACTATGACCATGATCCAGTGACAAATGTCTGTAGATTTGCAACTATGACCATTTCCAAATTTTTTAAAATAAAGTAGTCATGTTTGGCAGCAAGATCATACACAAGCAGGAATTATCATCAAAAATCCAGATAAAAATATATAGGTAGCTACTTAGCATTAGACTAGATGATTAATAAGGTAACGTTTGTGAAAAGGAAAAATAATTAAAATTAAAATACTGAGAACTTAATTATCAGATACTCATTCCTGCCTATCAGATTAGATATTTATTTTGTTTTTTATAAACTGTACTCCTGTTTCAAGTACCTTTAGGCTGAAAGTGGAAACAACAAAACTATACTTAAATTTTATTACTAAAAAAGCAACAGCCAGAAAGTAAAGTGATTAATACCATAAAGAAAAACCAATAGGTCAACAGTATGTGAGCTGGAAAAAAGCAGCCTCAAGACAAAATATAACTGCATGTGAAAATATGCTTAATGTTTTCACATTAATCATGCCAACATATTTGTCAAGCATTAGATACCAGAATTTAAAAATCAGTTTTGTCTATTCATATTATAATATAATGTATATTCAAAGCCCACTTGTAAACAAAAAATGAATAAACTGTTAACTTTTAAGAAAGATATATCCTCACTGAGTCAGAGTGAAAAGAACACTCAACCAGAAGTCAAGACACCTGAGTTCTGCTACTGGCAAATTATTTATAGCTTCCCTCGACTTACAGTTTTCATCCATAAAATGAGGAAGTCTGTAATAATCATTACAGTCTCTAGAAAGTCTGTTCTCCCAGACAATTAAGATAAGGAAGATTATCAAAAATACCCAATTATTTTAATTAAGGATAAAGATATAGATTTTATACCTATGGCACTTAAATCAAGGAAATTGGGTAGAAATGGAAGCAAAAATAGTATCTACCCACTCCATCAAAGTGACAAGACTCTCATGCCAGCGATGTGCTGGAAGATAACACTTACCTTAAACAGATGGATATTAGAATTAAATTTTCTTGCCCTTTGCCAAAAAGTAAAATCGCAACTAATCAGTATCAAAGCCTGACTAGTAGGAGGATTCCATTGGAAGAATAACTTTCTATTTAAAAACTTAATGAAGTTCTCCAGCACTACTTTCTCCTTGGTCCTCCATCCAATTCCTCAACCCCAAGGTATCAACAGAAAAAAAGAAGAAAAAGGAAAAAAGCAAGGGACATCCAAAAGCACAAATTTAGGGTACTAAGGATCTGATATATGGATATGTTTAAATTTTTACTATCTCATTGGTTCAAACAATAAAAATATTCATTCTGCTACAGGAGTCAACATGAGCTAATAAATCTTTCCTTTCAATCACTTTCACACTCTTAAAAACACTCCTGTAAGTCAAACCAGAGAAAAAATTGACTTACCTCCTAAGGAAACAAGGCACAAAACCATTTAATAATTTCGCTACTTTCCTGGGAAACCTGTAACTTTAATCAAAACACAAAAATCACGACTCTATTCTAACCAAGGTTCTAGGCACTGTTTCTCATGGATTAAAAGATAAAACAATAGAAAAGCAATGTTAACTCATCCATTCAAGAAAATTCCAAAAACACAAGCTCTATAATGCCTATTTATAGCCAAAAGCCCTTTCTTAGTAAATATCATTAATAAACTCATCTAGAGTCATAATTCATCTGATGAGCCAGTTAATTATTAATTTTCATACATCATTTCATTTCCTTAGGCTACATTTAGCCTTTGTTACATTTTCCATTCCTTATGCCACAAGCATTTCTTACCCTGCATAGAAAACCTGATAATGAGGCACAAAACACTGGTCAGCAACCAAACTGCTCCTAAGCTGGCATGAGCGCCCTCTCTCTCTCTCTCTCTCTCTCTCTCTCTCTCTCTCTATATATATATATATATATATATATATATGCCATCTAAAGTAGAGTTTTTATTGATTCTTTTTATTTTTTCCCTTCGGGTTAATGATTGTATAATTTCATTAACATTGCCCTTTCAACATCTCTGCCTTGCTCATTAATAGGACCATGCTATTCCCATGGGCTTCTCTAGTTACAGTTTTTGTAACCAGAAGAATATAGAATGAAAAGTCTATTGATAGATAATATAAGTTACTCTCATGCACGGCTGCCGTGTGAAGCACATTTTGCAATTCAACCAAGGACAGATAGAGCTGAATGTTCTTAGATCCCAGGAGTTCGTTTTAATAAGCAGAATGTACCTTGTCCTAACACAGGTGACTGACTCCTCAGAAAAGATTGTATAAACAAAAACCAATCGTGTAAGTCATTTTATTGGCAACAATATAAACACAGCTATATTAGATGTCACCAATAAATCAAAATTATTCTTGTCTGCAATTTTAACAAGAGGAAAGTGCAAACATTAGCCTGTGAAGCTGGAGGATATTATAGAGGAAATGCATTGGATGCGTACAATATCTTTTCTCTAAATTGAAATGCAGGGTCTATATTATGATAAAACAATCCACAACAAAGTATAGTTGGTCACTTCTGTGGTTTCATAACTTAATTCAATGAAACTGACAGATTCACAGACTTTAGAACAGAAATTACACAGAAATAGGGCTGGGATAATTCCATATCACTGTGATGTGGAACAAAAGCTTAAGGAGTTTACACCCGATAACTAGTACATACAGACCGTATAGACACTTGAACATTCCCCAGGTGTCATGTTGCTAATTCAAAGTCTATTAACATATTTATTTTGAATACTAAAATGTACAGATAATACTCAAGCAACACAATCACTAATACGATGAAATCAAAAAGAGAAAGTACTTTTTCTAAAGCAGGCTTAGCCCTGGTTGATACCAATTAAAAATATGAGGGCAAATTATAGTGTTCCCTTCAGAGATTCAAGACCACTTTTCCAAAGCCCACTTGAAAAGATAATATTATGAACATTATGGATCCCATCTAATAGAATCCCTGACTTCGTTTTATCTGTGGATTCCAACCCTTAGCTATCTAAAGAGAGACACATTTTAACTTTTAAAACAATCTTACATTTCATAAA